TAAATATTTTCATTCGGACATATAACATATTTTTTATTTCGCTCGACGTACTACGTCTCGTGTTGTAGATTTCTAAGTATGAATTTCATTAGATATGGGAAAATAATCTAGGTAGACTATGTTTAATAGATAGAGCTTCCACTATATCTAGCAGCTCTTCCCCTAGGGACGGATGGATACGATCTTGCTATAGCACTCTGACGCTCTTATTGTTGTTCCTTTTGTTTTAAATTTCTTTTCAGGCAGCTCAGAGTTTCGGAAAGCCGCAGGATGACGTAGTTCTTGCATAGTCTCCGTCGCATATATTATTATTCACTACAACACCTGAAATCTACCATAGCGGCTGAAAAACGCTATGGTATTATTTCATAGTGTTTTAATCAACGTTGTGTCAGAACCCGCTATAGTAGGTCTGTGGTTTTAATCAACGCTGTGTCAGACAGTCTAAAAATAACATAAAAACTAACCAGTAAATAGTTAAAATGAATGGAAACACTCTTTAATGTTCAAATTTTCATGAATACAAATTGACAAATTTATAAGAACATATGAATCCAAAGATACAAGATATACTTCAAATTTCATTTCCAACACTAATTTAAATAATTAATTTCACAATAAGCTAGCCTTTAAGAATCAATAGTTTCTGAATCCTCCAATAAGAGAGAGCTACACTTTTCCTCCGTGAAAGTTGCATTCTATTTATATGGCAGTTTACTATTCAGATGGTTTGAAATCTCCACATCAAAGGATCTAAAAGTCATTTTCATTATTATTTTCACTTTTTCCTCCGTGGTGAGGGATGCAACTATGCATTCTATTTGTTAAGATGTGAAATTGTAACGTAAATCCACCAAATGCAAGTGAAGACTCATGGACAAGAAAATTAGATATCTTAGATTTCATATGAAAACATTTCAGAAAAGAACAAACTGCAACATGAATATTCAACATTATTTACAAATCCAAGAGAAGATATAAAACAGCTATTATCACTAAAAATGAAAAATGCTTCTTCTAGAAAATAAAGGGATCATTCTAACCTGCAATATATAAGAAATAACAGATGAACATATGATACTTGATGAGCCCGCTAACAAGCTTATAAAAAATTTAATCCCTCGAATCTTCAAATAAGAGGGGTTTCAGAGGTGGACGAGAGACGAGGAGGGGCTCCGGCGGGCTCCGGCGGTGGACGAAAGACGAGGCGGTGGACGAAGAGGAGGGTCGGGTTTGGAGGCGGCAGCGGCGGCGAGATGCTGCGATAGCAAGTCGGAGGCGGCACAGGCGACGACTCAGAGATGGCACCGGCGACGACTCGGAGGCGGCAGCGACGAGTCGGAGGGATGTTAGGGTTTGGATGAAAGAAAAGGAACGGGAACTGGGATTATTTGTTGATTCTCGATTGGGGGTTTTTAGAATGGTTTTCAACATGCGGTTTTAATTTTTGGTGTCCCGCTTAAAGATTTCAACGCGCCAGAACAAAAATAAAAGCGCTCAATTATTGATAGCGTTTAAAATTTTTCAAACGCTATCAAAAAATATGGCACATATAATCTATAGCATTTACAACATAAACGCTATTATTCAATGCTATAAAAAAACAGTTTTGTTGTAGTGATTAGAGGATCCACTATAGTTTTGTATTTTCATTCGGACATTAGAATTTCGTTTTCATATTGTAAAAGCAGTGTGCCTTACTCTAATTTTCATTCGGACATATTTATTATTATTTATCGTATTCTAGTGTCTTCCACCCGTAAACAGATGGACAAACGGAGAGAGTAAATTAAGTATTGGAAGATATGTCGCGGGCGTGCATTATTAACTTTCAGGGTAGTTGGGAGGACCATATCCCATTAATTGAGTTTGCCTATAACAACAGTTATCAAGCGACTATTGGCATGACACCATATTAGGCATTATACGAGAGGCCTTGTAGATAGCTTATTTATTGGGCAGAACCAGAGGACAGCTTGCTTCTTAGGTCGGAACTTATGAGACAGACCACAGAGAAGGTAGCAGTGATTCGGGAGTGCATCCTTGCAGCACAGAGTAGGCAGAAGAGTTATGCAGATCAGAGACGACGACCGCTAGAGTTCCAGGTTGGGGACTATGTATTATTGAGAGTATCACAAATGAAGGGAGTTCAGCGATTTGGTAAATGGGGAAAGCTTGCCCCGAGGTTTATTGGTCCGTTCAGGATAGTTGAGCGCATTGAAGCCATTTTATATCGGCTAAATCTTCCAGCATCGATGTCGAGTATACACGATATCTTCCATGTTTCGATGCTCAAGAAGTATTTACGTGACGAGGAGCAGCAACAAGTGATGGACGCACTAGAGATTGAGCTTCATGACGATTTGACCACGATTGAAATTCCTGTGTGTATTCTTGCCAAGAAGGACAAGAAGCTTTGAAACAAAGTGATACATTTAGTTAAAGTTCAATGGAACCAGAAAGGAGTTGAGGATGCTTATTAGGAGCGCGAAGAGAATATGTGCTGCGACTATCCGCACCTATTTAAGCAGGTAAATTGATTTGATTATGAATTGCTCTTGTTTATGCTTATGATTATCTATATGGTCATATTTATATTTAACGCTAGAATGTGGGTATTAAAACTTAGCTCCTAATCATTCGGAATACATAATATATATATGGGGGGTTCATTGTTTGGATTTTTTGCCTGACGTACTAGTTCCGCTTAGTTAGGGTTTAAGTGGGAGTATTTGCATTCTAGATTGTTAAGCATAGGTATCGCTATATTCATATCTAGAGATTAATGGTACGATATGTGTATGTGAGGGTTTCCTTGTCTGGATTATCCCCTCAACGTACTTTTCTAGTATTATTAATCTCTAAGATACGATTGCGGAATTTCAGGGACGAAATTATTTTAATGGGAGAAGAATGTAAAACCCCAAAAATTTAAATATTATGTGATAAATAATAATAAATATGTTATATTGTGATAAATAATATATATTAATGTTTGAGTATGCTAGGAATTGATTTGAGATCAATTCGATACACATATGTGAGTATAGAAGTCAAAATTCACAAACATGCACAAACTAGCACTGTGCATTGTGCTTCGGACCGGTCGACCGGTGGCATATGGTCGGTCGACCGATGGAGATGCTTGGGCATGCCAGGTTTTGTTTGTGGGTCGAACTGGTTTGTTTCGAGCCCGATTGTTTACCCAACTATATAAACCTGTTTTAAACCCTTTTCCTGGATTTTTTACATGAGAACACAGCCACCCTCTCCCCTCAAACACTAGATCTCGTTTTTGGTGTTTCTCGAGGAGATTCGAGACGTGCAGTTGAGCGGAGGGCGAGCCGGTGCATTCTTTGAGTGAAGAGGGATCTTGCACGCATGTTCAGAGGTTCGACACGACGTTTGAGGCAAGATCACCTTCCTCCAAACCTTACCTATAGATTAAATCATGTTTCTATGAGTAATTTGGATTATTTTGATGCTTAGATCTCAACCCAATGTGATAAAAACTTAGTTTTTGATGTTAAAACTTAACCCAATGCTAGATCCTTTTTGTTTTCTTGCTGTTTATGTTAGTATCATGATCATGATCATGATCATTAGGGTTTCATTTAATTTTGTTTTTAACCTTTTAATCATGTTTAACTCATGTGTTAACCATAATTTGATATCTAATTAAATTATCATGCTAATTAATTATGCTTAAACCCTAGGTTTGTGATAACTAAGGGAGCATTTCGCAGCCGTGGTCTTTTTTCCGTTTCTATTTTTTTCAACAAAAAGAAAGAAACGCGTTTGGCAACCGGGACGTCAAAAACAAAATTCAAAAATTAAACACTTTTCTCAAAACACTAAAAATGTGTTTTGAGATTTTGTTTTTTTCATCTAAGCAGCCGCGCCCTCATCGCCGGCCGCCACGCAGGCCCGCTGGCACCGTCGCCACCCTGTAGGCCGCCGTCGCTCCGCCCCCATCCGTGCCGTCGCCCCCGCAGATTAACCACTCGCCTGTCGTCGGCCGCCGTACCTACCGCCGAGACGTCCGCCCATCGGTAGCATGTCCACCGCCGGCGCGCCGGTAAACCCGCGCTGCCACCTTGGCAATGATCGTCGTCGCTACACATTTGCCCGCTGCCGGGCCACAACCGCGGCCGAGGCCCGCGCGCCGGCCGCCGGCCACAATCGCCGTCGGCACCGCCAAGCCGTTTACAGTGTGCCATAAACCGCTGTCGTAGCCCATCGGCCCACGACGCGTCGCCGTCGCCGCCCAGGCGCGCCGACGATGCACAAGAGCCGCCGGCACACGCCGCGGGCGCCGGTCGCCCCGCCGCGCCGCCACCGCGACACATCATAATAAAATGGTCAAACTAGTTTGACCAAAATGGTTTCAAAACACATTTGAAAAAGAAATACCATGGCATGGTGTTTTTTATAAAAACACAAAAAAAAAACACATTGATTACCAAACACATAAGTTATCTAAACATGTTTAAACGAATTTTCCCCTATGTTTATGTTTATAATTTATCATGTTAAGTAAAGTATGTTGACAATTCATGAACTAATTGAGAAAATTGGTTAATTAGTATGTTAACCCTAATTTGATTAATTTAAGAGTTTAATTTTTGTTGAAATGATCTATGTTAAATAATTATTAAAGTTTAACTGTTGTTATATGCTTCACGATGAGAAAATTTTGTTTTTGAACAAGTTACAATATTTCAAAATGACAAATCCTGTAGACCGGTGCCCTAGCGTCGGTCGACCGGTA